GTTCGAATCAGCACTGTTCTCACGTTTACTATCAATGTACATTCAACCGTACACAGAGTGCGCCATCCAAACTTGGATTCCATGATCATAAGATGCTGGAGCGTCCATAAAGGACTGCCGCCAAGATAATCAAGGGAAAGAAATGTCTCACTTATGAGGAGAGATTACGATCACCGAGACTATATTCTGCTCAATGACGCCAAATTCGAGGAAACTTGATTTACGCGTATCAAATTATGCAGAACCCAAACCATCCATGTTGGCCGATGCACACATTGTCGAAATATGAACTGTTTCGTAAGTGATCCNAAAACAGCAGGGGTCCTTTGGAACAGAATTCTGTGTTGGCACACTGCTGACCGTCCCTCACAGATCGCATGGCTGAAGAGACACAGTTCTAGATTGGTTCTTTGCCCGTCGTTAAACTTTAATAACCTGCGTTTACCTAACTAAATGCAACACGTATTTCGCTTATCCCCGCAAACAACCCAGCCAGTTCACACATATTTTGATGAGGTATCAAGGCACAATATCTGGAATGACCTTAACCGGTAAATTGGATAACTACATTTCGCAATCAGGTCTTGCTTTTCACATGCCGTCCGAACCCATGATTGGACAGTCAAGTGTGATCTGTCTTTTGAGCAATCGAGAGATGACACCTCACTCGTTCTTCAAATATTGTTTTGATGACTTCAATGCGTGTACGGACCACAATAAGTTAAAGGAAACGTCATTGGTATTGTGGTCAATGCACACAATTGGATGAAAACGGTTTCCTAGATCTGGATTAACACAAAGCGATTCAGAGGCAATAGACCTCATGTGGAACATAAAGCACGATAATCACCGAATTAACAAGACTTAGGTTGAAGTTTGAATTGTACGTAGTAACCAAACATGTTAGTTCCCAGTTTAAGTGAAAATAACTACCGCGTATTCTAAAACCGATACATGTGATCGCGTGTCTCTGCCAGCGGACAACCGCAACAGTGATCAAACCCAAGTGCAGACGTGAAAAGAATGTGTGAGACCAATGCGTGCATTGCAGACTCTGCGAGACAACAAAATAACATTCCACAAGGTTTGATCGGGTGACCTTTACATCTGCGGTTGAAGATTGCTCACGGGAATTCGATGTCGAAGAGAAGANACTGTTGTTTGGTTGATAGTCACTGCACGCTTAAGCTCAATCTACCCTTCGATTTCTTCAGTAGAGACCATTTCGAATGGAGGAATCTCTCCCAAGCTTCTCAGGAATGGCGGCCCTGGCAGCCAACTTTTCCACTTCTGGTCGTCCACCTTCAGACCGCGAGTGCCGTGGTCTGCAGGATTAATTGTTCTCTTTACGTGATACCATTGCGAGGTGTTGAGCTTTCATGTATTATAGCCAATCGGTTGGCTATGAATGTTT